GTAATAATAATGGTAATCATTTATATATATATATATATATATATATATATATATATATATGTGATGTTGCTGAAATATTTTTCCTCAGCAAAAAGGGATTGAATTGGTCAAATTTGGAAAATGGGGTTTAGACCGTGACTTTTTCACTACACATTCATGCGTGTGGGCATTGCTGCGTGCGTATGTGTATGTATATGGGCATATGTGTCTTTGTACGTACATGTGTGTGTCTTTATGTGTATATGTGTGTACATATGTATGCTTGCGTGTGTACATATGTGTATATATGCAAATATTTGTGCATGCGTGTGCACGTGTGTGTGCGTGCGAGTGTATATATATATATATGTGTGTGTGTGTGTATGTGTGTGTGTGGGTATGAAACACATATTTATTAGTGTTTCTTTAGATTAACCATCTTCCGCTTGTTGCCTTTGGCTATTTCGAAAAGCGAAAACTAAATTAACGCTTACAACGAAATCTTTTCAGGCGCGAAGACAAAGCGAAAGAGAGAGTGAGAGAGAGCGTGGGCGGGAGCGAGGGAGGGAGGTATGCGAGAAAAATGGCCGCATCCACCACAGAATTCAGTCCACTTAGACGCTGACAGGAAATAGGAAACGAACCGACTGAACGAAAAACGAAAAAAAAAATAAAAATAAAAATAAGCGAGAAAAGAGATAAAGAAAGGAAACGGTAAAGTACTCCTGTGTTCAGTTGGTATAAAAAGTGGAATTGAACGAAACTACAGAAACAGAATAGGAATGAAAGGAGGTAAAAATAAAAATAAAATAATAAATAAAAATAGAAAGAAGGAAGAAAGGTTTAATCATTCAGAAGCGGATTACTTCGGAAAAAAAACCCGGCAGAAAAATATATGATGCCTATAAATAAATTAGGAATAATGAAAAAAAGAATTTGAAATATAAAACATTACTGGTCTTTTAATATATTTTGTCATTAACAGAATAACGTACATAAAAAAGAACAACTGGCTCCATGTAGATAGATAGATAGATAGATAGATAGATAGATAGATAGATAGGAAGGAGACTTTAGATAGATAGATAGATAGATAGATAGATAGATAGATAACAGACTTCGTTAGATAGATAGATAGATAGATAGATAGATAGATAGATAGATAGATAGATAGATAGATAGGAAGGAGACTTTAGATAGATAGATAGATAGATAGATAGATAGATAATAGATAACAGACTTCGTTAGATAGATAGATAGATAGATAGATAGATAGATAGATAGATAGATAGATAGATAGGAAGGTGACTTTAGATAGATAGATAGATAGATAGATAACAGACTTCGTTAGATAGATAGATAGATAGATAGATAGATAGATAGATAGATAGATAGATAGATAGCTCTTACTACAGACAGATGACGAAAATATGCATATTTCCTGGCTGGCCATCTATCTATCTATCTATCTATGTATATATATATATATATATATATATATATATATATATATATATATATCGGTTCGCAAGCTTGTCTTGCGATATCAATTACGACTGAGTAGTGAGTTCGATCATCATTAGGTGTTCCACACTTTCAGCCTAGTGCCAAATCTAAGCTACGCTTAGAAAATTATTTGAGCACTTCGATGTGGTGCAATAGTTAACAAGCTTGTCTTGCTAGATCATTTACGACTGAGTAGTGAGTTCAATTTTCACAGGGAGCTCCACACATTCGGCCTTGTGTCACATCTAAGCTACGCCCAGAAAATGATTAGGGCGGTGAGATGAACTAAGCTGTACCAATTTCTGTCGGGTCTGCAAAAGATGTGAGGTGTGGCATTGTGCTGAGGGAAGTTCAGATTGGCAAATTCCGGACGCTTTTCATCGATTACTATCTTTAATCTATCCGACCGAAAATATGACATGTCCGCATTTTGTGGAAGGAACTCAAAATACACAAAAGCCTTACCTGACGCTTATATGATATAGATGGAGTATCTCTAGGATGTACTATGCCGTCTGATTAGATTCATTTTAATAGGCATTTCTGTTTTGTCATCATCAACAACTGTAGTTTTGCTGAAATGTTCTTAGTCTTCAGTATAAAACGTTTTCACTTCTGAACTTTACGAATCACTTACGTTCAGTACTCTTAGCTATGGTACCGTGTCCATGAACGGAACCTATCTATTTTTACTGTTTGTACAGAGATTTTCCTTTTTGGAAATAAAAGGGCATCAAATGCGGAAAGTTCATCTCATTTTCCGCCTTTTCGAAACATTTAATGTAAGAACATTCAAAAACACACACACGAATCGTATAGAAAGAAACAATTGAAATTTATATAGACCATACATTTCAGTGACATGGGAAAAGAAATCAAATGACATCTTTAGAAAAACGGTAAGAACTTTTATGCTCTGGATCTGAATAGAATGAGATAGATAGATAGATAGATAGATAGATAGATAGATAGATAGATAGATAATTTCGGGAATCTATGATGAGAGGGATTTCGTTAAAAGTCACTATTTAGCGATAGCTGACAGGCAAAATTACGTCATAGCCCAATCAGTTAGAGCGCGTCGGATCTAATGACGCCTGACTCTACCCAGTTACACAGTTTTAAATCCTGTCGGAGAGCGCACATTTTTTTTAATAAGATTTCTCGAACATACTCTGGACGAAAATAAATAAATATGCTGTTTATTAAATAAACAGAGAGTCACCTCATCTATGAGTATCCATCAAAAATAAGGTTTACAGTAATAAACAATTAGGAAAACGGATAAATTGATTTGATATTTAATCATTAATTCTACTGAAAAGTATTTGTCTTTAAAATCAGCATATTCAGTACAGATCAAGTTTTATAGATGTCTATTAGTTTGTATGTGTGTGCATATAAGTACAACGTTAATAGTTTCATCTCTCGCATTTGTTGTTTTTCCAATCAATTTTCATCTTCAGAAATTTAAACGCAATGTTAATCGTCGTCATCTGTCTTCTTTAATTCATATTCTTTTATTGTAGAACACTCGGTAAATCCCTTGAGTCTTAGTGGCTTTATTGCCTTGCTTGTGGTTGGAATGATTAAAAAATGTTGCAGTACATATTGATATACCGGGTGTAACGCAAAATTCTCCAGTTGTTAGATTAAACATTAAATTGTTGTATCTTAGAAACAATTAAAGATATCTTACTGGAATTATCCAATGTTTTTATAACACTTCTGGAATCTATACTCAGAAATAAGAAGGAATAATTATTCTCCAGGCTTAAAAGAAGAATCGTGATAAAATCGATCATAAACGGAAATGACATCTTCATCATTAATTAATCATAGTTAAGAATCGGAAACTCATGATGGACTGAAATTAAGTATATATATATATATATATATATATATATATATATATATGAATGTGTGTGTGTGTGTGTATTATTTCAGGATCATTTTCCAACTTATTCAAGATGATCTTCGTCCTCTCTAACATTCTAACTTTCTGTCCTGTAGTAACAAGGTTCCTCACACGTTTCCCGCACGATTTCATTTTCAAGTCTTTTTTCACTGCTCTTTTCTCATAGCTGGAACTTCTCTCTCACGTGACAAATGCTTTATCGATTGAATTGAATCTTTTCTAATTGATCTCTTTAGTTCTAAGTTGAAGGGATGATCCCTCTTGCTGTAGTGACCGCCTGATCCAGTTTTACTGTTCCCTTTTTTTAAATTATTCACTGTTCTTTTGATGGTTTTTGAATAGACTTTGAAGATGGAAGCCAGATTATGAAAGCTGATACAATTACTGGAGGCATTTTCCTCCCAACATTGCTCATTTGAAAAGACAGTTGGTCTGACACAAAACGATTTTAACCTGTTTTCTAGCTAAATGACTCAAAGTGTTTTCCAGTGATTCTTACGAAAAACGGTGTCAAGACACGTCTTATCTGAAAACCTGGAATAAATTGAACTCAATTAGTTCACTGTTTTTTTTTGTTTTTTTTTAGGTAGTAAACATTTTGTGGGATGGATAATTATGCTGTAACACGATTTGGACAATTTTGCTGTTACACCCAGTATTCATATATATATATATATATATATATATATATATATATATATATATATATATAATAAAGAAAAAAAGTAAGATATATAATCCGGTGTTCTTATAGATATTTTTATTTTTACAAAATAGTGCTCAATGTAAATTTACAGAGCATTAATATTATAAATTCATTGATTTAAAATATGATTTTTTAGCTACACAGTTCTAACCATGCTTCAAAAATTTTTGAAACATGGTTAGAACTGTGTAGCGAAAAAAATTTTAAATCAATTAATTTATATATATATATATATATATATATATATATATATATATATATATATATATATATATATATTACGATCATATTGATCAAAATATCAGATGGCTAAACATCTTAACTGAAGACCTGGAAAAAAGAAACTCAATTAGTTTAGTGTTTTTTTTCTTTTTTTTCTTTTTTTTTTTAGATATTAAACATCTTGTGGAGTGTATAAATATGCTGTAACATGTTTTGGACAATTTTGCTGTTATCCCGTGTGTATAAGAACAGTTAAGTACATGAAAATAAAAATTAGTTTCAAATATTATGCGTATGCAAACACATAACAGAATACGGTGTGTCTTTATTTGATAAATGATTGAAACATTTTCACACCCGTAGTATTGACACTTCTTTTTAAGTTTGTCAATTGGACATAGAAATTGATGTCAAATTTATTAATCAAACCGTAAAATGCCTTTTGATCGGATATTGGTCAATATTTGTCAGTGGAATTTTAAAATTTATTGCCAAATCAAACATAACATTTTTTCCTAGAACAACCTAAGAATCGTGTTAATGCGCAGCTGAAAAAACAATTTTTTTCGATTAGAATCGGAAGAATGGTTGGTTTATAAACTCCCAACTTAACTGAAGAAAATAAAATAGCAGTTTTCGCGTATCCAACATGACAAGTGAGGCATCCATTTTCTATAAAATGGCTAAAGAAAGGTACTTTCAGAATTTAATGAAAAAAAACAAAACAAATATTATCTTACTGATGATAAAACGCAGATCGTGTGTGTGTGTGTGTGTCTGTACGTTTATATCTTGGATCGGATTTCCTACATTTTTCAACCGATTTCAACAAAATTTCATAGGACTACGTAAAATTAGCTTGCGGTGGTTCTGACAGCGCCAAAAATTGGAAAAACACTTTCACGAAATCAATTTGAAAACACGATAAAACACGATTCTGTCGCCAGAATGAAAGGGGGACAACTCATATCGAGTTATACTTATTATAAAATCCAGGTTGTGTGTGTGTGTGTGTGTGTGTGTGTGTGTGTGTGTGTGTTGTGTGTGTGTGTGTTCGTTTATATATGGGATCGGATTTCCTACATTTTTCAACCGATTTCAACAAAACTTCACTTTTTTGGCAGGTAGTGTTTCTTATTGTCTTGAACATTTTTTTCTTTATTTTTACATTCAGAATGTTTTTAAAATTCCATTTACAAGACAATTGTTTATAATAAAATTCTATTCAATCGATAGACTCATAACGATTGAAAACAATGTTTTTCTTTGAGTTTGGGTTTGACCAATTCGTAAAAAAAACCCCAAAAAACAAAAAACAAAAAACTAATTAAGACATGCGTGTCCGTCAACCAAAAACAATAATCTTTTTATTTTATAATAATTTTATTTTTCCGTCTTTATAATGGTCGAAACTTGATCTATCTCTTACTGTTACATCCCCGGGCAACGCCGGGCTCTTCTGCTAGTATAAAATAAAAAGAGATAAACCCAAAAACATGAAAGAGAGATAATTCAGAATTAAAGAGTAATAAATTAACCAATATGTTTGACTAGAATATTAAGGGAAATAAAAAATAAATATAAATAGGTGGGAGGGTGGAATATAAATATCTTGGGTGAAAACATCCAAATTAACATATATCACATCAGATTTATATTAAATTAATAACCATCCTCCAGGAAAAAAATTATATTTAAATATAATAATTTATATAATATAAAAAAAAATATTAAAATTTATATAAAAAAAGAATGACAAGGCCTTTAGAATAATAGAATTAAAGGAAGACTATAGAATCGATAGATAATACTATAGAAAAACTAATATATCAATACATTAATTAATTAAAGTAACAAAAAATTAAATAAATATAAAATATAAAAGAAAAGAGAGTTTCAATATTCTTCTTCTAGATACCATGTCCTTCCAGGACGTGGGCGATCATTGTTCGCCTTTCCTTTGTAGCACTTATTAATTTTAGTCTTTTTGCTCTATCGCCAAATTTCTTTTTACTGACAACCATTTATACAAGTTCGTGAGGTAAGTTATTTTGCTGCTAATTTCTGTGGCTCTTAAATTTTCTATTAGAATTTTTTTCTGATTCTAATATAAGTGTAGCTTTTGTTTCCACTCACATAAAACTCCGTCATTGCTCAATTGTGTGGTCCACGTTATTCTCAACATCCATCTGTAGAACCTCATTCCTGCTGTTTCAAGTCTCTTCATCTGCGAAGAGATTGTGAATGTGCCGCATTCACTGCCATATAGAAGGGCCGAAAATACGTAACAGCCCAGTCTTCATTTCTTTGTTTCTAGCGAAATTCTCCTGTTTCTTAATACTTTTTCTTAAATTTAGAAAGGCATATTTCATTATTCCCAATGCGCCTTCGGATTTCGGTGTCGGAATTTTCTTTTCACTGTTAAAACACTTCCCAGATATTTAAATGTTTGTAACTTGCTGGATTTTGGTGTGTCCAATTCCTAGTTTTCATCCCACATCTATAAGGCCGGCTGGTTGAAAAATTAATTTAAAATTTATAAATTTCATTTCGACATTTAATGCGATTACATTTAATATAAAATAAATGTAAAATGTGTCAGGAGTGAAACATATTAAAAGTTGGCACCAGACCAAAATATTAAGAAATAATTGAGTGACTGACATACTGAACAAATTTTTTAAACTGTTTTCTATTTTAGCAAAAATTTACAAGGTTAGATGAATTAGTCTGTAGGCTGAGACGTGGATGTGAGTGGAATTTGAAACTGAATATTTACAGGATAATTTTAAATATATGGGTTTAATATTCAAGACCGAATTAATTTTTATTAACATTAAGTAGAAAATATACAGTGTAACCCGGATATAAGAGAGTTGTCGGGACCGGAGAAGAAGTCTCTTATATCCGGGTTTGGTCTATTTTATATACATTAACACAGGCTCTAATTTGGGACCAGAGAAAATCTCTCTTATATCCGTGTTTCTCTTATATCCGGGTCTCTTATATCCGGGTTACACTGTATATTGAAATAAAAGCTCCATAATCATTTGAAGATATCTGGAATTACTCTCTCTCTCTTTCTCTCTCTCTCTCTCTCTCACACACACACACACATACGCACACACATACACAAACACACACACACACACACACATATATATATATATATATATATATATATATCATCATTACATCCCAAAACAAGGTAGGAATACCACTATTACGCAGGAGATTACAGAGAATGAAAGTGAAAGACTGAGAATAGGGAGGATGAAGAAAAGGATGAAAGATAAACGGGGTTCAAGCAGTCAGAAGATGGCGATTGAGGTTTTATCTAAATTTGTGAAGATTGTAGTAATCAGGGTAAGAGGAAGGGAGTTCCACTGTCGGGAAGTGCGAGGAAAGAAACCGTTGGAATAGAGGTGGTGGTTATATTTAACTATTTCAACACTAAAACGGTGAAACTTAGTTGCCAATTTAGTAGCACACTTAAATTCATGTCGTTGAGGCACGAGGATAAAAAGCACGTCAGAGCAGTTGCCATAAAATATTTGTAGAAAAGACAGAGGGTAGCCACATCACGTGTGTGAGAATATAACTGAAGTCGTGATGCCAAGACAGGATTGATTACATTACAGATACTTCAGCATTGATTAAAGCCTCGAATACTTTACCGAAAAGCGGTAGGAGGCTGATTGGGTGATAGGGGTCAGAATATTCTCCAGAATTCTTAAAAACAGAAACTATAGAGGAGGACTTCCAACAAGTTAGAAAGCAGAAAGCAACGAGGTAATAGTTGTAGATTTTGGAGAGAACTGGAGCCAGATCGGTAGCAAATTAATTTAGGACGGTGGCTGGGGTCTTGACACCGCTAGCCTTATGTGAGTTTAATTTAGAAATGATGCTCGAGGTCAGTGACGGGGTTATGCGCATTTCACTTGCATTTTAATTGCTGAAGATTTTAGCTATCAGGGATGCAAGTAAACTGAATGGAGTTCTACTGTCGGAAAGTGTGAGGAAAGAAATTCTTAGAGTAGAAGGAGCGGTTACACTTACTTATTTCAACAGTAAAAGGGTGGGAGGAGATGCCAGTCTAATAGCGGGGTTAAATTCAAGTAGTCGAGACACCAGGTAAAAAAAAAAGCTCGTCAGAGCAGTTTGGTTTGGTTTGGTTTATTTTGTTTTACGGCATATCAACCTCAATGAGTTATTTAATGCCGACAATTTTTTTATTGCTGGTAATATTTTGTTTTGTCAAAAATATGTTTCTGGTAATATATTTCCTTCAAAATTGTATTGCTGGTAATAATTTTTTCAAAACGTATTGCTGGTAATAGTTAACTATTTGCCCATAGCTGGGTCCCTAGCAGGTGCGACCACCCTGGGTCAGGGTGGACCTGGGAACACCAGCAATTAAGTGGTGGTTGAACGCTCCTCAGAACCTTCTGATCAGAGGCCTTGCTGCTGGACGTAGTTTAACGTCTTACCCAGGACGGACGTTAGATCAGTTGACATGAAACTATTTGTAGAAAAGTCAGAGGGAAATTACGTCGCGTCGAGATGTCTAGTTAGGATCATTTACATCACTGATTATTCTTTGGATTTTTCCACGAATCTCGAGATGTACAGCAGGAGCGCCAGTCCTCTGTTCACGTGCGCGTGCATGTGTGCATATATTAGCTATTTATTCAAACATGTTTATTAAAGGGAACAGCCAAACTTTACCAGTTACATTCACAAGTGTAATATATTATAAGTTTTACACCTTTGCCGATATATATATATATATATATATATATATATATATATATATATATATATATATATATATATATATGCTTAATAATCCGTCGAATGGGTTATTCGCCCTCTGTAATTATTTTGCATCTGTAACCAAAATAATTCAACACGACATAATTGACCCTTCTGTTTGCCTCGGGGTTCTTGATAGGCTCCAGAGGCGGATATGCAATATAATTGGCCCTGCTCTGGCATCTCGTCTACAGTCACTCTCTCACAGATGCGCCGTCGCCTCTCGCTGTCTGTTCTACAAATACTTTCATGATAATTACTCCGAGAAGCTGCATTTGCTGGTTCCCAGACTTCATGTGTTCAAGCGACCTACGAGGCTGGCATCCCGCTCTCACCCCTTCACTGTCGAAACTCCTAAATGTAGCCGTCTCTTCTACTCCAATAGCTTCATGTCTCGCACCTCTCTCCTGTGGAACTCCCTTCCCTATTCCAGTTTCCCTGAGAGCTATAATCTCCAGCTATTCAAGTGTAATGTCAATCGACATCTCCAGTTACCTTGATCTATCCACTACCCTTCTCCTCATACCCTCTTCTATCACTCCTATCTTATCTCGCTCTATATTTTCTGTAACCCCTTGCGTCCTAGTGGCTTCCCGCCTTGCTTGGGGTGAAATGCTTAAAAAAAAAATAAAATAAAATAATCCCGGGTAAAATTTATAAGATATTACAGAAAAAGGAAAACTGCTAACTTCGTAGTCACTTTTCAAAACAACCGTATTAGATGTAAATCAGCGATGACCAATATAGTGTATCAATTTAACTGGCCAGGAAAACACTGTTTCTCGTCATAAATCAAATAGGTACATCAGTCACACTGCTACTTCCTTGGTCAGACGCCTCACGTGTCAGTTATT